TGGACAAAAAGAACACCAAAAAAGCGTAGTTCTTCTACATGCTTGTAAATCTACAGGATATGGTCCTCGCCTCCCATATTTTTGCGCAACACACAAAGCTTATCTATGTTTTGGGTTGTCCGACTTGCATGTTAATGAGATAATTATCAATATTATCTGAACACGCGACACAACCAAAGAATCAAATGACGCAGGATACTTCAATCTTTTTTTTTTAGGAATAAAATTTATTTAGCAGCCGACTTTAGTTAAGCATTAATGCAAAGTATCAGAGTGATTGCATGTGAGGAAAATAAAAATACTCGATTCCTGTAAATCGTATTTCCGCAGCCGTTAATTATTTTAAATCCACTTGCGTGAGTAACGTTAAGTGAAAACCAAAAACTGCGTACGTTGATTTGTACTACAATGCTCTAACGTAACTCTCTCCGGAGCTACATGTTTCCATCTCCTGAAAAGTCGTAGATCGATGGAATTGCCATTATGTTACTGCACGCTGGATCCGATGGTTTCAAGTGATGAGGACAAAATTATAATTATAGACATTGATTGGACAGGACAAGGAGATGCTGTACGTCGGTCAGATGGGGTACAGAATTATGGAGTATAATTTTAAAAAGCACTGCTGCGATTTTTCGATCCATTTGCAATCGGCTATTTCCCGGAGCAAATAGCAGCGCCAATGTGTCATGTTTACAAGCAGAAGACTTGAACCTGCGGATTGGATATTAATATGTCAGATAATATTCTCTAGCAGAAATTATCAAATGTCTAATAAAATTTAATTTTTAAGTTAATGGTTGTTTGTTAATTTTAATTCATGTGGGCACCCTGCAGATTGCTAAGAACGGTGACATACAAGGTTAGAAATCATCACGCAATGGGTTCTACCGAATATGCATAAACGATTCTTCTTCAGTTTGAGAGGCAAAGCTTGCCGAATTACGTGAAACGTTTCAAGCTTTCACCCAGACTAGGACAACGTTTATTTAATCGCTCAGCTGAGACCATGGATGATGGCACAGTAATAAGTACCAGTCGACGTCTTAAAAGAAAGTTTGTACTAGTTACTATTACTCCTGAGATCGCCTATGTGTTGCAACATGCAGTAATTTGGGATGCAGCGAAAGTATATCGTAATGGAGAGCAACTGGCAAATTTGTAATATTATAACGAGAATTCTGCTGATGTACCAAGTCCTGGGAGACGTATCACTTAATTCCATCAGTAACATAGTTTCGCAAGCAGCAGCACCAATTAATGTGGATTTCTGCGCCACCTGTCAATGTTTTTGTAACGGCTTAGCCTTCAATGCTTCCAAGAAAAAAGGAAAACTTATTGCAGCAGAATTACATTGACAAGACCAAGATTAGATATGGGCCTTTACTTACTTTGTTGTCACTGTTATTAAAGCTTGGCGCACTTGTTATTCTGTCGTGTCACCCGGAGCATTGTACATTGTAAAAGCAATCATGTATCAATCGTAACGCAGATTTGCTTCGGCGCGCGGGGTTCGATAAATCAAACTATTCTATTACAACACAACAAATCGCATTATTACAAGTTAAATGTCCCGAGTCAAGTTACACATACTAATCCAAAAATGGGAGGCGAGGACCATATCCTGTAGATTTACAAGCATGTAGAAGAACTACGCTTTTTTGGTGTTCTTTTTGTCCA